CTACTCTTTTTACCAACGAATAGTGGGATTGACCGTCACATTATACCGCCCCCACGGCTGAAAGGGCGAGCATGTTTGGTGGGACGGGTAATCGAACCCGCGACTCTCAGATTGCGAGTCGAGCACCCTAGCCACCTGGCCATGCCGGACCCCAACTTTATCAGACACCTGTAGATAGATGTGTAATTCAGCATTTCACCTATCACAACAAAACATTACCAAAACACATATAATGACAAAATATAACATCAAATTATTATAGGAGGCGCCATTGACGTTTCCCTGGAAGATATGAAGAGCGGTTTTTCCACCATGATGAATAGCTGCTCAAACATGTACTGCATCACCTTCTGTGGGAAAGACAGTCTTCCCTCATCTGTTCTCCAGCCAAATGACGAACTCGAATCCTACCAACAGCTTTAACAAGCCGAAAACAGGACGCATCTGAAAAGATGACATGTTGCCAGTGTCCTAACTGTAAGTTGGCATGCTGTCTTGCCCAAGTAAACACAGTGACAGCGGTAAATTCTGGTTAATATCGGTTTGCACATAGTTCTTCTTGCAAAATATCCTTATTTGTTCAGTCTCCTACTCGCTGTTCTTCTGAATACCCTAAAATGAATGTGTTAGTGTCACTCCTGTCGTAAGGTGTTACAAGACTTCTTTTGACTTTGACATGTGAACACGGGCATCTGGGTCAGTAATTTTTCGGCGTCTACCAGTAGACTTTCCTGGAACAATGTTTCCTGTAGTCCAATAACGTTTCAGGATTCTGGATACAGTACACTGGGGACACACTACTGTTCTGGCAATGTCCGCTTGCTTTATACTATTTCTGGACAGTCGAACAATCTGACGTCCTATAACTTCCGGCACGTGACAAGGCATGACTCTAAACCAAGTACAGAGAAATTGTCTGAACAAAGCGTTGATCTGTTTCGACAAAGATTATACCAAAAGCACACCCTTTTATACAAAATAGTTGTTTATGTGTGTTTTGACGAATAACTGCTCAAAACAACTTATAAAGACCAGAATAACAACTCGTACATGTTTGTCCGATCGTATCCTACCTTCTCTGTTACTACCCGGGCGCTTATTCAATAACTACTCCATGCATGTAGACAATAACATCAATATAGAACACTATGCAAACATTTTGACCAAGACTGTACATTATAACATTTCAAACGATATATATAAAATACATTATAATATTATGTGAACTATACAAATCGTAAAGGATGGCACTGATTTTTAATCTTTATTAATTCTGCGATCTAACTTCAATCTAAGAAAACATTTTCTTTTATAATCATGTTTTCATGATGACTTCAAGAAAAATTTGTCCATTCTGTATAGCCTAGGGGGCGAAGTTCTTTAATTATTCTAAAGCAAGAGCTACGCTTGTTCAGTGAAAAATAAGTTTTTGTGTTACTTGTTTGTAGCTTCAGTGAATATAGAAGTTGGAGAACTTTTCTAAATACCACAGTGGAAAGGTGCATGAATTTCGTGAGAGTTTACATTACGTGTTACTTGTTAAAAAATGTCAGCGTTTATTTTTTTATACCAGTTACATCTATCTTTCTGTTTTGATAGCTTCATTATGTGTGGCTGGCTGTTTTTGTCTGTATGTATGTATGTATGTGTGTGTGTGTGTGTGTGTGTGTGTGTGTGTGTATATACATAACTATAACTGTTTATTTATATATATTTATAACTTTTTATTGATATGTATGTTTATTTTAACTACCTTTTATTTTTCTGTTTATATTTCTCTACCAATCTGTATTTACCTAATTTTCT